ACCTGCAATTCCATAGAGTCAGCGAGCTAGAGAGCAAAAGGAGCAGGAGCAGGAGCAGGAGCAGGAGCAGGAGCAGGAGCAGGAGCAGGAGCAGGGGCAGGAGCAGGAGCAGGGGCAGGAGCAGGGGCAGGAGCAGGAGCAGGAGCAGGAGCAGGAGCAGGAGCAGGAGCAGGGGCAGGAGCAGGAGCAGGAGCAGGAGCAGGAGCAGGAGCAGGAGCAGGAGCAGGAGCAGGAGCAGGAGCAGGAGCAGGAGCAGGAGCAGGGGCAGGAGCAGGAGCAGGAGCAGGGGCAGGGGCAGGAGCAGGAGCAGGAGCAGGAGCAGGAGCAGGAGCAGGAGCAGGAGCAGGAGCAGGAGCAGGAGCAGGAGCAGGAGCAGGAGCAGGAGCAGGAGCAGGAGCAGGAGCAGGAGCAGGAGCAGGAACTTACCATGTCAAGGCAGCCATAATCATAGAGGAAGAGGAGATGATTGAATGGTTGGCAACGACGTGCGGGGAAGAGAGAGAAAGAGTCTCACCTTGTCTCGGTGACGTTCGGTTCCAGTGGGAGTCCTCCAGTATCCTCCCCTCCCTCTCCCTCACCTCCCGTCTGCCGTCTGCGGACGAAACCTCTGAAGCTGCCGCTGCATCGCACGACACCCCCCAGTCCGGCAGGAGACTTGAGTTCCCGCTCCCGCTCCCCCTCTCCTCCTCCCCGGCGACAAGATTCTTGAAGCTCCTCGTCCACTTGAGGTAGCTCTCCCCAAATTCCCTGCTCGGCTCGATCTGCGTTCCCTCGTGCCACTCGTTGAACGAGTTCACCAGCGCCATCGGCAGCCTCCCTCCCTTCCTCTCCCCCCCTTCCTCTCCTCTCCCCCCCCCTTGGCACTTTATCACCCTCCTCAACTCCTTCCATGCCTTGAGGTACTGCGCCCCCTCCGCGCGCTCGATCGCTGCCCTTCCTCCTCCTCGCATCTTCCTGTCGTCGTACCCCGGGGAGACGTAAGGAACGACTCCCATCCCCGCCCTCCTCGCTGCCTCCCCGAACTTGGCGTGCAGGTACGCGGATTGCCAGGAGAAGGCTGCGTCCATCTTATCGGGCTGACCAGCATCGTAGAGGTTGTACCCGGTGACTGAGGACAAGTTGATCGCCTTGTAAAGGTCCCAGGGGAACTCCGAAGGAGAAGGGTTCCACCACAGGATGTCCCCGATGATGAAGAGCGGCCGTCCTATCCTCTCCTGCACTTTCTTGATGGCATTGTTCAGCGGCTCCACGAAGTTCTGAAAGTCTCGGAGGGTGTAGAGGAAGAGGACGGGGCATCCGTCGACCCTCATGTAGTTGGGATGAAGGAAGTAGTGCTCGGCCGCGTACAGCAGGTGGTGCTCGAGGATGCGGGGGTTGTCCCCCCGCATCAGGTCCACAGATCCTCCTCCCTCCCCCACCCCCAGCACGTCCCTCACCTCGTACATGAGCGCCATCGGTACCCCGTCCTCTACCTCCAGGTGCCTCTGTATCAGTTGGTCCACCTCCCCCGAAGGACTCCACCACTGCAACGGCTCCTTCCATCCTTCCACCACGTACTGCTTCCCCCTCGCTGGCTCCACCTCCTTCCCCTCCCTCGTGCAGCGCGGCCTGCTGTGCTTGCCCTCGCTGTCCACTAGCTTACATTGCCCATCCACACTCCCCTGCTTGTTTGGCGCCCGCGTCCCATCCCCTCCCCAGGAGACTGCGAAGAAATCGATGCATGCTGCTCTAGCCCACTGGTGGTGCAGCTTCATGACGCTCGCGTCGAAGCTCTTGTACTCCCCTAGGACAGGCTCGAAGGGTCGAGGGAAGACCTGCAGCAGGAGCAAGGTCAGGCTCTGAAGCCTCCGGGAGGTCGTGACAGTGCCGTCAGAAATCCCCAGGATGCAGTCACTAGCACAAGACAGCGAAGGATCCCACTAAGACTGCTCTGTGAATCCTAGTTCATGCTCCTTGGCGGCTTCACCAACTTCTGCACTGCAAGACTGACTGCAACATTCTTCTCATCATAGTCTCCTCGCATCACACTCTTTCACATGGCTTGGGCCCAGCCTCAACTCGTACCTCGCCAGCATACAAGGAACCTTCTCTCTTGCTTCTTTGCATTCATGCTCTTCTCTGACACACATTCTCGTCTACAGCATCATTTTCCTCCTTTCGTCTTTCCTCCTCTCTCCTCCTCTCCCCCTGACTCTCCCCCTGACTCTCCCCCTGACTCTCCTCCTCCTCTCCTCACTGTATTGAGCTTGTCACCTGCCATTGTTCGCCGAAGCCATACCACGTGTAGTAGTAGGCCCCGAGCAGCATCGCTGCGGTACACGCCATGCCGCCGCCTCCAGCTCCAGGCTGGGCGATCCCAAGTAATCATCGCCCTCATTCTTTTAACTCATCGCCCTCACGCCACTCTGCCTCACACCAAGAGTCTGACCAAGGCTTGAAGAGTGCTGCCAAGAGTGCTTGCTCAAACAGCACTGAGAGTGTCCGGGCCTTTCGCCAAAGTCCGAGACCGGGGCCGTTAGATCTTTTTCAACGGCCTGACTGTGGGGGTGGAGTCCGAGCGACCTCATGGTTCACAGGCATGTCGGTCTATGGCCCTCCAGCCGGAGGGGCTAAAAGGGGGGGTACTTGGAGTGAAAACATGGGGTGGTGCGATGCACTGACGTGCTCGCGGATTGACTGTCACGTTACCATGGGCACCAGTGAACTGCTTTTACTACAGGAATATGGACGTTTGAGGATTGCCTTCAATGACCGGTAGTTTTGAACCAGATAGGGTGGGTGCATTGCCAGTGAAAGGTAAGCTGAAACCACTCATTTTCGTATATTCATTGAGTCAGAGGATCAGCAGCACGGGAACCCGGTGCCCGGATCGGATTTAAGAGTCGAAAAGTTGTCTTTTGAGTCTTAAGAGAGTCATCACGTGGTCGTCGAAACGATGCTCTTCTGAAAGTTAAGAAAGGATGCGCTTTTGCAGTGAAATAGCCCGAGCTCAGCCCTTACTTATTCTCCTCGTCCTCGTCCTCGCCTTCGCCCTCGTACACGCCCACATCCTCGTGCTCCTTCGAATTCACCGTTCTCAGTGCCTTTCTAATCACCTCTGACCGCCTCCCTCCTCATTTACATCCTCCTTTCACAACCTCTCCACTCCCTTTCGACAGCGCTTTCCTAACATCTGAACAATCGTATCTTGCCATGACGAACGAAGATATCATCGTATGCTCCTGCAATTGCTCCTCCCCCACTTGCTGTGATCCAGCACCAAGAAACGTCTTTGAAGACTTCTTCGGATCAAACGCTATCATCGCAACTGTCTCGACCCGCTCTAATCTCATCGTGGAATACAACTTCTGTGCCTACGGAGCAAGCCAGCGCAAGTGCATGGATGACTTTGAGAGCATGGGATACATGACAGCACTCCCTACCGTTGATACCAGCAAGACATGCGAAAAGGAGCGTGAATGTTGCTGCTGCATCGTCAGCACAAGCAAAGGCGCTGCTCCACAAAAGGTGGTCTGCGAATGGAACGGACCTGGTCAGCATGAGCAGAAACATGAAGAGAAGAAGATCTGCCTCGTCGGTCAGTCTGGTCTGGCCCCCGTCCGCAGGCCAAGCATCCCCGGAGTGAGGAGGATCAGGTGGGGTAGCTGGGGCGACTTGGTTCTAGACTTTGAGATTTGAGAAAGGAACTGTATTAAGTCACGACAATTATCATATGTAGATAACCTGAATGTAAACGAGTAACTTCAATGTTCCTGAACTTCAACACAAGTCTCATTCGTTCCATCGTCCGTCAGCTACCTGTGAACGCACGCGGCAGGCAGAATCATGACAACCGAGCCCGACGGCCTGTGACGAGTCAACGGCCTCGGCGAAGCAAACCCTCCGAGTCCGATCAGATCACGGTATGTCTTTTCACTCCATGACTGTGATCACCGTACCAGCCAGGTCCGCAATAATACCGTACAGTGAATGTGACAACTTGACACGCCAGGAAAGAAGAGGGAAGGCAACCTTGAAGTTTTACAAACCTACGAGCTACTTCCCGCCTCTGTCCTCCACAGAGTCTCCGCTCGCCTCGTACTAGCTTGCTCTCCCGTCAGTCTCCCGTCTAGGCTTGAATTCCTACATTGAACCTCCCCGTAATCCCACTGGCTCAAGACATCTGAATGGGCGTCAGAGCATGCAAGAAGCATCCCAAACGGTTTCACGGGAAGCGTTGGAAGCGTTCTCCTCCCCTTGCTGCAGCCTCCCATCGAGCGAGAGCGTGATCGGAAATTACGGCTGCGAATGATTTCGTGACGAAAACAGGGTAAGGAGGCGAGCACGGGTGTGCGCAGGAGAATGGGGGTAAGGCATGGAAGGGACACGGGGAGGGGATCTGGCAGAGTGACTGAGGATGGGGAGATGGAGGATGGGATGGAAGATGCAGAGGACAGCGATGGCGGCGAGGTTGATGACAGAATCAGGCAAACAGTGAATGACAATACAGTGGAAGGACGAGAGCAGCTTACTCCCTACCAGTTTCAAATGGGTCAAGGCGAATACAAGAGCAATTTGTACACAATGGCATTTCGGAAACAGGGGGAATGGATATCCTGCTTACCAAACCTTGAAGCCTCGCCATTTCCACACCAAGGATCAGAAGAAGAGATTCAGTGACTTGCGGTTTCTTGTGAGGGAAATAGAAATAGAAGCCAGAGAACTAGGGGTGTATGTGGAGCAACCGGACGGGGTAGACGAAGCAGGGTTTATGTATGATCAGTGTGAAAACTCTCTTATGGAAATATACAAGGACGCAAGAGGAGAATGGGACGCGACGCCAAGGTTTGGCCATTTGTCGTGGATGACGGTGGTGGACTTGCTTAGGAAGAGCGGGGAAGGGCGAAAAGTGTAGAGATGTTTTGGTGTAATTACTAGTGTAATACATTAATGCGCATCACAGAAGAGCTCGGTGAATGTTAGGTACAGACGGATTGGAATATTCGATGATATGCAGCATGGAATAAGAATGACTCCTTGTGACTTTTGTAATGTTGACCGGGATGGGATAATGGCACAACTGCGGGGTAAGGGGAGAAGATGCGTTTGTGATAGGGGTGCGGATGATGGTGGATTGTGCAGAGAAGAGAAGAGAAGAGAAGAGATGAGATGAGATGATATGAGAAGAGATGAGACGAGGAGAGAAGAGAAGAGAAGAGAAGAGAAAAGATGACAAGAGAAGAGAAGAGAAGAGAAGAGATGAGAAGAGAAGAGATGACAAGAGATGAAAAGAGAAGAGATGAGAGAGAGAGAGAGAGAGAGAGAGAGAGAGAGAGAGAGAGAGAGAGAGAGAGAGAGAGAGAGAGAGAGAGAGAGAGAGAGAGAGAGAGAGAGAGAGAGAGAGAGAGAGAGAGAGAGAGAGAGAG